AAGCACATCTGGCTGCCAGATGGGCTGGCTACAGCCAGCGTGGAGGCTTCTGAGGGATAGGAGCCAACCCCAGCCCTCTCCTGGGCCTCGGGTCTCTCTCATGGAGCATCACTCTACCGGCTGCCCCCCTCTTTGCAGTGGGGAGGGATCCCCCCCATGGAGCTGCAGAAGGACTCCAGGTTAAGTTGCCTAGGGAGTCCCACCAGTGATCAGAGCCCCCAGCGCTGACTCTAGGACACCACTCTGGTTTGGAGCTGCTTCTGTGCCTCAGTTTCTCCATCCATAGCATTGCCTAATGGGGAATGGGGGGAAGTTTTCCTTGATGATTTCCCTGGAGAGGAATGGCAAATCTTGACAGAGGACTGATTCTACTGAAATAGGAGGATTTTATCCTCTTTGCAAGTAGTTGAATGAAGCAGCTTTACCATGAAGAGAAAGCACCCACCTGAGGGGAACAGCCTTGCACCCCGTTTTGCTGCACTTTAACACCAGTGTGGATAAGTTCTTTCACTGGTGCTCACTGGTGATGGGACAGTCATGCCTGACATTTTTCAGCATTAAAATACTGTGGTGCCATCAGATAGTGTGAGATCAGGCACCCAGTACAGGGTGGAAGCCAGTGCCTGGCCAGAGCATCACCGGGAAGGTGAGACCATGCAGGGCGGCTCCAGGAGCACATTGCCCAGACTTCTGGTGCCAGTCATGCGAGGAGCCGCCACGCAGCGGGGCGTGCAGAGCTGCCACAGGGCTGCCCAGCCTGGCAGCAACGCCGCCGTCCTCCACGCCAACACCTCCCATGCAAAGCAGCATGCATTTCACCCGTGTCCCCCGGCCTTAGGGACCTCTGCAGCTGGGGTGCAACAGCCGGCATTGGAGTGGGCTCTCATCTTGGCTGATCCGGGGAGCAAGCTGGGGCTGCCATACCCTCAGCTGTCCTGATCAGAGCCCTGATGGCTGTGTAACAGTGTCCCATGGAGTCAAGGTTTGCAGCTGCTGCAATTTGGAGCTGCTTTGACCTGTGAAATAGACTTTCAGAAAAGCATGTGGTTTTCTGCTCCTCGCTGCTGGCAGTTGTGCTACTCCTGCTGTGTCTCACAGATGGGCATGCTCCATTCAGAGCTGGTCTCAGCCCTTCTTAGCCGTGCTGGACACACCAGGCTGGAGGCATTGCTCTGTGGAGACAAGCTCCAAAATCTCATGCCAGCTCTTGCTCTATCACTACTTTCCAGTTCCTCCCAAGGTGCCTCTGCCACCCTGCAGTCTCTTTCCTCCGCGGTTTGAACCAGCCTCTTCCCAGCACTTCCTAAAGCTACTCAATGTCAACCTCAGAATACCTCATCACAATATAGCCTGTCTGTTCCGGTGTTTTGGGACACAGTTGCTCATTAAAAGCCATCCTTTGGGCAGGCCAGGGCTGGAGAGGGTGAATTACCCCTCCCTGGCAGCCTCTGCCCTGGCCATGAGGGTGCAGAGCTCAGGATGGTGGATGCAGGGATCAGGTCTGATTTTCCCTTCCCCTGACAGGCTCCTGACCTGCTCCAGGGCAGGACCTGCAGCATCCTCATCCCCAGGGCAGGGCTGCCATGGGGAGCAGATCTGGGCTGGGGGTCGGGACCCCATTCCCCCACGTGTGTGCGAATGTGTGTGTATGCACACTCAGGAGCGCGTCCTTTGGGGTTTGCACAGCACATTAAAGCTATTCCCTTATCTAATCACAGCTCAGGTGAGTGCTATTAGGGTTATACATTAACAGTGGTAATGATACCCTCTCTCCCCGCAGCCATTGGCCCTGTCTTGATCCCAAAGCCAAAACCATTCCCACTGGCACTGTGAATGGCTCCATTTGGCTGCCCCAGCAGTTCCTTTGCCTGGTCTTTTGGGGACAAGCAGAAGGGACTTTAAATGTATAGCAGGGCTCAAAAGGGCTAGCAGCTGTGCTGGGAGGCATCACCAGCACGCCCTTTGCACCCCATGCACCCCATCCGTGCTCCCTCCCCGTGCAGCAGCAGCAGCTCCGGGCTACCCCGGCTGTGGGACAGCCCTGTCCATCCCTCTGCTTGGCCGTGCTCCCCACTGCTGTGCCAGGGTTTCCCCATGGGTACAAGAGGTCCCTGTAAGGAGCCAGGCTGGCTCTTACCAAATTTCCTCTTTCCTTTCAGAAAGCCATAAAAAGTCTCCAGGAGAGAGTTAAGTGTAACCCAGCATTCACATTCAAGGTAGTTGAATTATTCATTGTCAATAGTATTTCTTTAGAGTCCTTTTCTTTTCCTTGTGAATCACCCACAATACATTCCCGAATTCAGCAAACATCACTGAAACCAGCAATTAGTTGAGATGAATAACTTCCCATCGCTGGCTTGGTCGTGAGCCCCTGCTTTGTGTCTTTCCTACCTGATACTGGGCAGCGAGAGGCTGATGCCCAGCTCACACGGTGCTGGCTCACTGGCACGGTCAAGTATCGGCCAGACCTGAGGCAAAGCAGGGGCTTCAACAAGGATGAACAGTGAAGAGGGAATAACAAAGAGCAAGCTGTGATGGATCTATTTACAGCTGCAGCAGGAAATAATAATTCTTGCTGAGATTCATGGGATATGTGGTATTCACAAACCGCCTTATTTCTTTATTCTTCTTGCATTTTTTTTACTTTATCTGTCAACTCCTTTGCTTTCCAGCTGTTTTTCTCTTCAAGCAGTGGTATTCAAATAACTTTATTGCAATAACATCATTTTTAAGTTATTATATCTTCAGAAAGATTTTTGCTTTCTAATGAAAAGAAAAGAAAAGATAAATTTATATGAGAAAGCAAATAACTTGTAGGAATCCCTGAGCGTGGAGCAGAGGCAGAGGGAGCACGGTTTCTCACAGAGCTGCTAAACTCTGCAGGAATCTCCAGAGGTGCCTCTGGTTTATCCTGTAACTCCCTGGGAACTGCTGTGTTTGCAAATTCAGCACAGGTCTCCTGGGCTGGGACACACAAGTCCTTTGCACGCTGACAAACCCTTCATCTGTGGGGCTGCGTGAGGGGGCAGCAACACCCTGGCAAGGGTCCCATGGGAGAGCGTGGGGTCTCGCGTGAGATGGGTGACCCCAGCATCGCTGCAGCCCCACACTGTGCCGAGGAGGAGTACCCAGGGATGCTGCCATGGGCCCCTTGCACGCTAAATAGCTCCTACCCTTCTCCATGGATTGCCAGAGAGCTTTGGTGGTGCTTGAGACCGCACTGGGACCCTTGACCCTCCCGGATGGCCCCTGGCATCACCTTGCTCACATTGCACTAAGCCCATATCAGCACCCACTTCCAGGAGCAAGGGCAACATGCTGTGACCATGGGCTCTCCTGTCTCTGACGCTCTTTGGCATTTATATTTCAGCATAAGAAGTGGCTTAGAAAAGTCCCCATCTCCTTGCCATGGGAAGGTGGGGAAAAGAGACCCTTAAAAATAAAACTGAGTTGGTTGAGAAACCAATTTGCAGCCTCGGGGCTGGGGTGTTGCTGTGCAGAGATTCGCTGATGTCTGTTAGGGTTGAATCCACTCTGGAGTCTCTGAAGCACAGTTTTGCTCAATGCCTCCCAAACTCCTGCTTCCACTAGGATGGTCAGAATTTTATCATATTGTGAGACTTCTCAATGTCAATCCAATCTGTCCCAAACTGGTCAATGTGCCAAGGGCTTGTTATGGGGCACGGATGGATGGAATGGCAGGCACACAAAGATCCCCTTTCCTGGGGCAAGCAGGCTGCAGGCAAGGCTGCTGGGTCACTGGAAATCCCTCCCCGCACATCTGCAGCAGTGATGAGCAGTATCTGCTCCATGCCTGTACACCCAGGGCATCCCCAGGGCAATCCATGGAGCTGTTCTGAGCTTTCTCCTGTCCCTTCCCACAGCAGCATGCTCTCAGCAGCAGAAATTCAGAAGACGGGCAATGGTGTCTTCCAGTCAAACAAATGGCCAGGTTCCCAGTCAGGATAGTGAAAAGCTCAGCTGAAAGCACAACTCTGTCCCTCCCGATGCCCTAGAACAGGATTTTGTTATTTTTGGGCTCTTTTGCAAAGGAAAGCACAGGGACTTGTCAGCAAACTGCCAGGCATGAACACCCTTCCCCGAGGTGCCACCTTCACCCCTGCGCCCCCCGCCCAGGTTCAAGCTGTAGGGTCCTGCTCCACAGTTCTCACTGATTGCATGCAGGTCAACAAAGGAACTCATGGAGAAAGAGTCTGGGTTATTTTTTACTGTATTTTTGGCTGTATTTTTCTGATAGAAAGTGTCAGGTGCTGCCTTAAGCATGGAGGAGATGTGGGGCTTAATTAACCCAAGCTCTGTCTGTACCTGGGGGGCCCTGAGGCAAGATTTGGGGTGGCTTCAGTCAAATACAGCTGACCTACGGATGCAGTCCCTGGGAGTGCTTGTGCACCATGGGGGCTTTGTTCAGGGTATCTTTAAAGACTACACCAAACGAGTAAGCTGCTGCCCTCCATCTCAGCTTGGTACTGAGAGGAGGAAAATAACCCTCTTGGTGGCAGAGAAATGCTGGCATCCCTAGATTTTCTGTCTTTCCCCTGTCCTGATCCGTGTGCCTTCAAGAGTTGGCACCTTGGGTTTGGGCTTCCTGGCAAAGGTCAGGGCTTCCCTCAGCCCTCCCAGGCTGTATTTTTGCAGATTGCTTGTCCCCAGCCCACCACAGGGCTTGCAGCTCTGCTCCTCTCAGGGTTGGTGTGTCATGGCACACGGTCCATCTACTCAGGATGCCTCTGAATCCCTCCTGCTCTTTCCATCGAGCAATGTCCCCAAAGCCCAGGTACTTTCCAACATGGAGAAACACCCTGGTGCTATCCAGGATGGGCATTGAATGCAGTAGGAGCCTCATGACTCTTTTCCACCGGTCCCCAGGGCATTGCCATGTTTCTCCTGAGCTCTCCACAGGTGGCTGTGCATCTCCTTCATGCTCCTGGGGATGCTCCTACCTCTCCACTGCTCACCTTCTGCTCTGGTCTCTCTGCCAGGCAAAACCAGGACGAAAGACAAGTACCGGGTGGTGTACACAGATCACCAGCGTCTGGAGCTGGAGAAAGAGTTTCACTACAGCCGCTACATCACCATCCGCCGCAAAGCTGAGCTGGCTGCTGCCCTTGGGCTCACCGAACGGCAGGTCAGTGCTGCGGTGCTCCGGAAAAGCAATGTCCCAGGTGGGGATGGGGCTGGAAAGGGAAAGGGATGCAGCCCAAGCAGACAACAGTGGTCCCCCCTTGCTCCATGAATCTCCCTCTCTTCCAAACTCTAGGATGGCCAAGGATGACCCCAAGGTTTGTCATCCTTGGCTGCATCTGTCCCTGTCTCTGCACTGCCATCTTTGTCTTTCTGCAGGTGAAAATCTGGTTTCAGAATCGGAGGGCGAAGGAGAGGAAGGTGAACAAGAAGAAGATGCAGCAGCAAAGCCAGCCCACCAGCACCACCACCCCGACCCCACCAGCCGTTGGCACGCCAGGACCCATTGGTGGCCTCTGCAGCAGCAGCGCCCCAAACCTTGTCTCCTCATCTCCACTGACAATCAAGGAGGAATTCATGCCTTAGCCCCCCTTCACCAGCTATAGATACCAAGAGATAAGCACTATGCAGTAGAGCCCAGCCAGTCTGTGTGCTCTGAAGAGTGACAGCCCCTTTCCAAAGACACAATAGTCCTCTGCTGAACTAATGGGGCGACCAGCAAGGCTGGGCAAGGTGGCACTAGGACCTTCCCAAGGGGCTGGTGGGCTCTCTCCTATGTAAAAAACATAGGTTAGGTAACATTGCTCTCCTATAGGAAGCATGCACCAGTCTGGTCTCTGGTATTGTAGCCCAAAGCAAGGTCCTAATGTCAGCAGAAGGAAGTGGGTGGTGGTGGAAGGTGGCTCTCCTACAGTGCTTCAGGTGGAGCTGGTAGGACAATTCCTTCATGGTCCTCTTGGACATCCAGCTGTCTGGTGCTTTTGGGGCAGTGCGAACAAGACTGAACTAGAAAAAAGACCTGGCTGGACTCAAGGAAAACAGATTTCCACTGAGCTGGTCTCCTGGATCTGCCGTGCCAGGAAGGGCAGTGCTGAAGACAGAGCACGTTGGAGTGTGAAAGCCAGGCTGGACCCTCGGCCATGGGACACGAGGATGGACTCCTTCAAATCATAGCAATAGTGGTGAGCTGGAGCACGTCCTTGGTGAAAGTCCCCTGCACATCCCTGCCCAGGCAGGCTGTGGCTTTTACCAGCAAGTCCCTGCCATCCCACTGCATCCGCAGCCCCGCTCCAGCTCTCATAGGATTTGGGTCTCCCTCCTGCAGGGGCTGCTGACACCTCCCTAGGCCACCACTGCCAGCTGTGCTCGATGATGAGGACAAATGTTTGCATTGGCTCAGGACTTTGGCTCAGTTTTTGTATACATAAGGCAGAACTGGTTTTCCTTTTTATTTTTTAGGCATCGATGAAAATAAAAGTGAGCAGGAATCCTGAGCACCATGGGTTTGTTGCTGTCTCCTCCCAGCCCATGGTTCTGGAGCAGGGGAGGGATGCCCACTCCAGGGTCGCAATGGCTCTGGGCTGGGAGTGAGGGGCCCTGCCCAGCCCCACTAAAACCGGTGCAGATGGTTATCTTGATGCAGCAGCCTTGCCCCTGTAGCTGTTCCCATTCCGCAGGGACATTGCTGCGGGTGCCGTGGCCTTTGCCACCGAGAGGGATGGCTGTGCCAGGAGACCCAACGACGGCAAACTCACAGCCCCGGGGGCAGCTGGGGAGAGGGTGTGGCTGGGCCTGGGCTGGTGGAGGCCAAAGAACAAGGCCGGCTGCCCACAGACGTGGCCATCTCCCATTGGCGCCTCCTGGCCTCTAATCTTGTTTTATGGCTGTTGACAGGCTGAATATCCTCCTTGTCCAACAAAAGCAAACAGAGAACGAGGATGTGAGATAGTGCCTGGGACAGCTGGCATCAGTGCCCAACGCTCTCCTCTCACCATCCCAGCCACGTCTTCCTGGTCCTGCAGGGTACTGAGCAAGGGCATGTCCTCGAATCCCTGCCCCAAATGGCTCCTTCAGCCCCAAAATGTACCAAACATTGCCTGGAAAAAGGCAGGAATGTATGTGCTGAGGTGCCCGGGCTGTGCCATTGGCTGTGCAGGGACACCTGATGCAGGATAAAGTCCTCATGAGTGGAGGAGATGGAGGAGCAGGTGCAGGATGAGGTGGCATTGCAGACAGAGGGACAGAACAGAGGGTTTTTTCCTGATCTTGCAATAGCAGCTGCACCCACTGCTGCATCCTGGTGACCCTGCACTCATTGGCACAGTGCCTGGGCTGCCCCCAGCATGCACCACCTCCCTGCACCCCTACAAGGGAATGTGGGGCATCAGGAGCTAAAACAGGCCAAGGAACGCAAAAGAAACTGAGCTAGTGTCAAATAGGAAAAGGGATGGGATGGGCCACTTGCTTAAAGAGCTGGGCCGGACTGGCACAACTGGTGTCCAATTCTGCATGGAGACTCCAGCGTGGCCCCACACCGGGGGCTGGCTCCTCCACATGCATCCTCCTCCCTCACTGGGTTTCACCTGCTTTTGATATCCAATATTGTCATTGCCACACAGGGATGGGCCGGTGGGATCCTGCCCTGGCATAGGAGGGGTGGTGGCAGTCCAGCCTTGGCCATCACCACCACCTGCAAGGTCTTGCTCAAGGGCGAAGCTTGAAGAGGAGCAGAGTCCTGGGGGAATGCATATCTCCCAAACTCACTATGTTGGGGTGTCCTTGGGTGGGCAGGGGGCCAGGCTGGAGGGAAGATGCTCCACCGCCCTCCTGGCGAGGCTGCGGGTGCCATTGACAGGATGAAATTCCAACTGATACCCTGGCGCCTGCCTGTTTGCACAGCAGGGTAAAAGTCCAGCGAGCTGTGGGCTGTGCCCTTGGGTCCCTGCCGCCCGTGTGTGCACAGGGAACCGGTGCTGGCGGGAAGAGGCAATAAATGCGCCCACACGCCCAGGCACCTCTTCCCCCAGCACACACACACACACACACACGCCCCTTGGCTGGGTGACGAAATGCATCTGCTGCATCCTCGCTTCTGTGTCCTCCCTTTCCTCCCTCCAGTCACTGTTTGGGCAGGGATGGGCAAGCCCTGCGGTGTCCCCCCATGCCAGGAAAAGGGTTGGTGGATCCTATGTCCCCACCAGCTTTGGGACCTTTGGTCTAAACCTCCTGGACACGTGTTGCTTTGACGGTTACACCTCTGGCAGGTGACAGGCACCCACTTTTAGCACCTGCAGCAGCTGCTCCCCTAATGGCATGGCTCCTCATGGAGCCTGGTTCTCATGGGGACAGCCTGACCCCACAGCCAGGGGACCCTGGGAGCTGTCCCCACCAAGCCCCCACAGTTTCTTCCTGTTCCTTCCTCTCTGCTTCCCTCCGGCTTCTGCTGGCTGGCTGCACCCCTCCTTGGAGAAATCTTGAAAATATCATAATAAGGCCACGCACGCCAGGTGGCCACAACCACCGCCGGCCTGCCAGCAGCCTCCAGCATGGCACACTTCCCAGTGCTGACTAACTGGAGTGCCGCTGCCGTTGTTGACTTCCTTGTGTCTCATGGAGCGGATCTGGGCACGGTCCCATCTTGCTGTCAGCCATCTTCCCTCCTCTGCTGGGACACGAGTAGGCTGCCCGAGCAGGCTGAGCATGGGTGTTTCCCCAGCCTGTGTGCTGCCCTCTCTTTTCCTATCGATGGCAGACAGCACGGGCAGTGCCAGTGCCTGTCAGGCGCTGCATCAGGATGGAGGGACACGTGTTTGCTTTCCTGCAGTCCTACCACCCTGCTGCGCCCATGCTTCAGCCCATGGGAAGGGAAAAGTTTACACGATGTCCCAGGGGTGTGGTGAGGGAAGGCAAAGCTTGTCAGAAAATGTTTGCAAGCCCTGTGTGTGCTCCCTGGTGCCAGGCCCTTGGGGATCAGGGCACAGGGACAGCTGTGCAACACTTGTCCTCTGCCTGAGCTCTACTGGGGTTTTGGGGGTCCCTGGGAGGGGCCCCTCTGGCTTCTATTGCCTCTGGTAGGTGCTGTTCCATGAGGTGAGTCTCTTGCTGGCTCCAGGGTGATGCCAGACTGTAACCAGATCTGCAGTGAGATGCTGGAGCACCCCAGATGCCTGGCATGGGATGTCTACTCCCTTGCGGTCCCAGATGATGGAGAGTTGATGCTGTTACCAGAGCAGCACCAGCCAAACTAAAAAAGGGAGCTCCAAACACAGAGCACCCCACTGGCAGCAGTGTCAGCATGGGCATTTCAGGATAGCACCAGCCCTGGATGTCTCTGCTGGTAAATACTGCCCTGGAGACAAGAAGATGGGATCTTGAAGTCCACCCAGGGGAGGCTGAGTGGTTTGTGCAGGGCTCAGTCCATGCTGGCGACACAGGGCTGGGGCAGCTGTGACAAGGTGGCACCAACCTTTCCCTTACTATGCAGCGGTGGTGGCTGTGGGACACTTCTCTTTAGATGGATCCCAAGGGACAAAGCCAAAGGAGTGATTCAGATCACACAGGCACAAAAAGCAAACAAAGCATCCCTGTCCTGAGCAGGAAGGGTGAGGCTGGGACAGTGCCTCACGCAGCCCCCAGCCACCAGCCTGGCCAGCTCTGGGCTCAGTGCTCCCCTCAGCATCCTGGGAGAGGGAGAAGTGATGGGTAAGTCCAAGGCAGGTAAAGTCACCCAGACTGGGTGACTTTCCAAAGACTACTTTATTTTGAGGAAGCTATGAGTGTGTGAAAAAAGATGTTTGTTGGGTTATGTAGTTTGCTCCTTCCTCCTTTCCCACTGGGAAACCTGGGTAAATGTTAGCTCTGAAAGATCCACTGTACAAACACTGAGCCACTTCAGCAGGGCTGGATTCTGCAGAAATATATCTTTATACTCAGGATGCATTTCTTTTTGGGAAAATTTTCAGTAGTGCTTGGAGGGCTGTAGGAGCACGACTGCCATCAGACATCAGGGAGATTTGCTCTTCCATCAGACAGGCTGAGTCCTCTCAGTCCCAGCCCTGCCCTCATCCCTGCATCTCCAGTGCTGCCTGCTCAGGCTCAAACCTGCGCAGAGTGGCTGGGGACGGGTTGGAGCACCATGGGGCATTTGCAAGGAAAAGGGACATGCACACCCTGACTCTCTGGGCACAGTCCAGGGAGAAAGTGAAGGACAAGAGGATATTACCAAGGAAAAGAGACATTACTGTGGGTCCTGAGGCAAACAGCAGCTCTCCTGGTACCACGCTGGCTCCATGGTACATAAGATTGTCCCCTCTTGCAGTCCCACAGAGGACATTTCCCACCATAAACGTGGTAGAAGAAGCCTTAGGTCAGCTCTCTGCCACTTTACTGGAGACTTAACTGTGCATGATGAAGAAAAGCCCACATCTCCCTGGGTTTTGGGGCCACAGGATCCCACTGCTGACTCAATGGAGAGGTCTGAACCTTGGAAATGTGCTCCAATGATGTGTCCACAATATGCTGGACCCTGCTGCACTCCCTGGGGCCTGCCCAAGGATTGCTCTTGCCCCAGCATGGTGGGATATGCTGGTCCTGCCCAAAGGGGACTGACAGCTGTTGAACATCCCCCACACCCTGGGCTGAGGATTGGGCTTGGGCATCACAGGGAGAAGTCACTTCTGACCTGCTCAAGCTCCAGCCGTGTCCTGCCACAGAAGAATCAGCTCAGAGCCAGACAGATGTTGGGAGCTTCTGACACCTACACTTGAACTGCTGCCACGGCTGCTCAGGGCATGTGGGACTCCCAAGGCGCCTGCAAAGTCAGGTCCATCCCTAGGGAGACCTGATGCATTCGTGGCATGAGTAAGGCAGCAGCCATTCCTCCTCGCTGCCCGGGTGGGGGCTGAGGTCTCGGACCCAGGGGTGCGTTTGACAGACAGCCCTTCTCCAGCCTGCCCAGAGCCGTCTCCTCCTCCCTCGCTGCTCAGCACACAGCCATCCACAACTCCAGGCAAACCTTTCCTCCAGTTTTGCTCCCCACATCCCCCCCTGCGTCCCTCCATTCACCAGCCCAGCTGGCAGCAAAGTAGGACCTCTCCTTGCCTGTTACTGCTTTGCTCGCTCTCTCTTCTCCTTCCCTATTGCCGGAGAAAGCGAGA